GTGTCAGTGAGGAGGCTGGTTGGCTCTACACAGGCGTTAGTTAGTATGTCTTCCCACAGGTTGGTGCTCCGCTCTCGGGGCTGATCAGTAGGCGCCGTAGCGATCCTGGAAGAAAGCAGAAAAATGAGCAAACATTTGTGCACAGGCGGATGAAGATATCCAGATGTTGGCGTGAGGATGACAGATGTCTCACCTGGATTGTATTCATCACGCCGTTGGCGAGGACAGCCATCTTGCCCGCTACGGTCTTCACTCCTTGTTTGAACTGTGCGATGTCCGGGCCGGAGGGGAGCACGCCGTCGAAGCCTGATGCCCGTCCTGAGAGGAGGACAGGAAGTGGGACACATTTCAATCAACGCCATACACAATATAAGGTCTGTTTCTATTCTAGCTCTATATAAACTGTTTATAAAAAGACTGTTTGATACAGAATGTATGAAACAAATCAATGCAGAAAGATGTAATCTGGGGAAACATATCAGCCAACCCTAATGGAGTAATGTTTGCTAAAAACTACAGTTTACCTTTATTGTCACTGCCATCCCCAAACAAGTCAGCTGAACTGATGGAGGTGCTTCCAGACATGTTCTCCAGTCTTGTCTTTGCATCATACTGAAAGAAGAAACTAAAGTCAACATCAGGATAATAACAGTACACAGTTTTACACAGAATCTCTCTCTGGGATTGTTGCTTTAAATAGAGAGTTTAGTGATCTGAAGTGAAATGAAGATGAGGTTTCTCACCTCTGCGCTGCTCTCCCGGCCGAAGAACATGTCCGAAGAGATCGCCTTCGCATTTGCAAACTTCTGTCTGGCCTCGCTGGACTCTGACACTGGAGCTGAAACCTCGGCTTTTCTTCTGCTGGGAAGTCTGAAACACGAGAGCACCACCACTTTATTTTGTGTTTTATGATTATCTGCGAGGTAAAATGACTCATTTTGTAAATGGAGTCTGGTGGGCCGTGGTGCAACATCTAGTGGGAGTGAATCTGTATAACCTTTAAGGAATAAAGACTAAAGAGAGTGAACATCCGTGTAGATACCTCTCTCCGATTGGCTGAATACTAGAGATGGTGACCTCCTCTTTGGGGTCCTCTTTCTCCAGAGCCCAGGAGGTGGTAAAGGAGGCGGTCCCTCCCTCGGTATCCCACCGGGATCCAAAACTGTCTCCCACTGTAAACGGGTTGTCCTTATACCTGAAACACCAAACATAACGGATTCATAACAGATTTGTACACAGAAATATCAGTAGAGAAAGTTGATAGATGGACGTCGCAGACAGCAGGGACTCTGTTATGAAATCCGTTATTTTGGTGGTTCAGGTATAAGGACAACCCGCTTTACAGGCGGAGACAGTGTTTTGGATCCCGGTGGGATACCTTGAGGAGGGAATCTCTCCAAAATTTGACCACCTCCTGGGGCTCCTGGAGAGCAAGACGACCCAAAGCCAAGGAGAGGTCACCATCTGCTTGTTATTTCATCTCTATGATCGGAGAGAGGTATCTACACGGATGTTCACTCTCTTTAGTCTTTATTTCTGTACAACGGTCCATCCTGGATATGTACAGATTCACTCACACCAACTCATAACGATAGAAATAGTATGCACCACGGCTCCGAGCGCGAGACAGTCATTACAAAATGAGTCATTAAATTTATACCTGCGCTACCCCGAGAGAATCATATATAACACCCATGAAAATATATAGTTATGGGTGTGAGCATCGTCGTGTTTCAGACTTCCCAGCAGATAGAAAAAGCCGAGTGTTCGAGAGCTTTGGGAGTTTATAAGTCTGAGCCGGTGTCTGGTCGTTTATGTTTGCTCCTTGCAAACTGTGTTCAGCTCCAGTGTCAGAGTCCAGCGGAGGCCAGACAGAAGTTTGCAATATTTTGCAAGTCGAAGGCAGATCTCTTCGGAACATTGTTCGTCTATCCTCTCCCCTCTCTGGCCTTTCGGTGTTCTGAGAGCCAAGGCAGCGCAGAGGTGAAAGACCCTTCGCATCGTTCATTTCATTCAGAATCACTAAACGCCTCTCTATGTAAAGCAACAATCCCAGAAGAGAAGATTCTGGTAGAAACTGTGTACTGTATTTACCTCGGCGTAAGGATGACTGGACTCCGTTTACCCGTTTCCCTTTCTGCTACCTCAGTTTATACTCATTATAACCACAAGCAATCCGACTGGGGTAGACTTAAGCATGTCTTGAGCACTCCATCAGTTCAGCTGACTTGGTTTGGGATGGCAGCGTAAGACCAGATTGGTACCAGAGCGTAAACTGTATTTTTAGCAAAACATTATCGTTCCCGATTCCGAAGGCTTTCTGGAGTTCTCGAT